TTGGACAGCTGAATGGTTGCCATGGAGATTAAAAGATTTCTCAAACATTCATGAAAACCTCACAAAAATTTGTAAATGCTAATCTAGGTATCCAGGTTTTTGCCTTTTCCAGGGTCCTTGCATTCTATACCTAATGGTGTCCGTCCTGTGTCACCTTCAGGTGGGAGAAAACCTGATCCAGGACTTCCTGGAGAAGGTGAAGGCACTTCCTGTCGCCACCATGACCGAGGAGGAGGTGAAGGCAGAGCTCAGGAGGATAAAGCAAGATTTGGTGGCCAAAAATAACACGTACATCAGTGAGATACTTGCCCGCTGCACTCCTGTAAAATCTGCCTGACTTTTTTTTTTTCTTAAATGCTCATGTTCGGCTCCATGCTTCACCTAAAGCTCATGTAGGAACAACACTAGAGTGCCTATAATCTGTACGTTTTTCAATAAAGAATTTCTCCTAATTTGTTTACACGTTTCTTTGAATTTGAAGCTGATTTTTGGTTCACAGAAAGAAAACCAGAGCTTTGTGGGGTTAAGATGTTGCATCACCCTGACCTGACTGTTGCTGCACGAGCTTGTCTTCATCTGATCTGGGTTTCCAGGAAGCTGAGCGTCATATAGGGCAGATAAGGAAGAGGCATGTGTGAAGGCTTGCCAGATTCATCTGGTGGCTGTGAACATTGTTTATGTATAGCTCTGTGTTCCTCTGTTGATCACATTCAGTAAAACTGCAGCACGGGTTTTATGCGTGTGGAATTGAGATTACCCCCCTGAAGACCCTAAAGAACTTTGATTTCATGCACAGGAGAGGCATGGTTCAGTTTCTTCGACGTACCATCGGTGAGAAGATACAAGCGAAGGTTACATTTGAGCTGATCTCATTTTGACAGAATCTGTTAATTCACAAAAACTTTAAGCATATCTATTATTTTTTTCCATAAATAATCCTCCATTCTCAAAGCAGAGGCTTTGGCAAGCCAGTTTGTCATATAATCTATGTTTTATTCCTTTCTAACAGAAAAAACAGTTTACTTACATGCTAAAAAAAAGGAACTGACTCATTCAATTTGATCCACAACAATGTGGAGTGTTAGGTTGCATTTATCGGATTTATTAAGGGACATGCACAGGCAGCCAGTAGGTGGTGCTAGACCTGCTGTGTTTCCTTTGGACAAAAAAGTGCCCTTCTGAAATTGTTTTTTTTTTTTTCTCAACAGTTTATATTGTGGGGTTTGTAGAGTTTCTGGGTCTAAAAGTCTCTATTACTAAACTGACCATTACTTTTTACAACATTACACTCAATTCTCATCTCCGTTTGGAAAAAGATTAGTTTACAAGCACGTTTTCCTTTAAATTTAGAGCGACAAAGCCGAAGCAACGGGCAGTTGAAGCAACCAGGGTTGATCACATGCCACAATGTATTTAGCAAGCAGCTGAAAATCAAATCGTGCACACCACATATTATTTGTTGACATAGATGTATGCAGACTAATCGGTTTCACTGCATGCTCAGATTTGTGTTGCATAATATTTGAGTAAATAATTTGTGGGAAAAGTGAGTGTTTTACTCCACACCGAAACATTTATTAATTTTGGTTGTAACAACTAGATATTTAGAGTTATTGTCCATTTGTAAGACAATGTTCATTACAGCCAAACTTCCACTTTAGTTTCATCAGATCATGACATTTCTCCAAAAAACAAAGTTCTTTGTCCATGTGTGTATTTGCAAACGGTGGTCTGTCTTTATGGTTCTTTTGGAGTAATGCCTTCCTCTTCACTGAGTGGCCTTTCAGCCAGTACATGTGTTACTATATTGGGATGGTTGACCTTTCCCATCATGTCTATGCTTGTTTATAATAGTCTGAATAGTTGAACAGTACATGGTTTTCAAAGATGAACTTGACTTGTGCAGAACCACAATTCACTTCCTGTTTATTTTTATGTTTTGTACTTTTCCATCGTGTCTAATAAGGAAGCATTGTGATTCAGGTGTTGCCCTAAAAAAACATCCACAGGTTTGACTCCAATTAACTAAAATGTGGCAGTTAACCAGAAGTTGCCAAAGTTCATTGTTTAATGAGACCGAACGGAGCGCAGACGAGCCAGCCAATTTTGCAGTACCGTAATTCCGCCACACGTTGCGCTTTCTGAAAAATTCCAACGGTTTCAAAAAGAGTCGTTGCGCTTTGTCGCCAATATCGGGTTATTACGTTTTTTTCACCACCGCCGTAGCAGGGGTTGAAATTAATCTGAGGGGCGCTCTTTTAATGGACGATAAATAAATAAAATTACTTCCTAGATATTGAAAGTTCCAGTTATCGATAAATGGGCAAATATATTTACTCAGAAGACATTTAATGAACTACGTACAATTAAAATAAGTAAAAAAAAAAAAAAAAATATATATATATATATATATATATATATATATATATATATATATATATACAGGCGGAGAAAAAGTTAAGAAAAAGCAATGATTTTGCTAAATCGTCTTTATAACTCACCTAAAACAGGAGAGATTTTGTCTCATTTAAGTTCAGATTGGCTGTAGCAAATGTTGAGGAGAAAAAAACCTTTCTGCATCGTCTTTGTACCAATCTAAATGAGGACGCCACAAACTGCGAGCTTCTGAGAATTATGAGTTTTTGGGTTTTCATGGCACATTTTGTTTCGCCACCGGGGAATAAAATCCCTGCGGTGCGCCGCTCTGGAGCAGGTCTCTGTGTCAAAACAAGCATGTTCTGCGGATCGACATTTCCAAGAAGCTGGTCATAATTCAAATTCTGCCTGGAATAACGAGGTGTGATGGCGACCCTGCAGGCATTTGCACATATAAAATGTCGGTGGTGGTCGCATTATCTGGTCCCATCGGCTCATTCCTGTCACGCTTCACGCTTTTCCAGTGTCAACCTTGTGTTCTGCATTTTTCCACTGTTGGTCACGTTTCATAAAATTACAACACGAGTTTCACTGCGTGTAATTGAAGTGACAACCCAAAGACCTGTGACTCGACGCACAGAACAGAGGCGGTTTAGTTCCATCTGCAAAGCACAGCAAGAAAGCAAACCACGATGTTTTGACCTTCTCGCATTAGGTTTGGCTGTCCATGGTTTTCTTTTATACAGTCATGTTCAATAAGTGAAACATTATGTTGATTACAGACTGATGTTTTGAAACCTTTTTTCCTGCTTTCAGCTAATGAAAAACATGACTTTTAAGGATAAAATATTACTCCAGACCAATAATAGAAGTAAAGAGTTGATGAGGAAAAGACAGGAATAATGACACAGGCATCAAACTTTGGATTTACACTCTATACACTGCAAAAACAAAATCTTACCAAGTGTTTTTGGTTTACTTTCCAGTGTAAATATCTTTTTACATTTAAAATGAGATCAAAAGTAACTTTGCAGAAATATATAAGAGCTTGTATTAAGTAAATAATTCCTTGATATTGATGGAAAAAGTACTGGCAGATTATTTAATTTATAGGACATGTTTACCATAAATCCAGGAAAAGAAAGGCTTCCAAACATGGTGGAAATATGTCAGATTGACTTTGAAGACATTTCTAACATTATTTCTCTATTTTGGAATAGAGAAATAATTATTTATTTTAGAAAATGGTAATTCTAACCAAAATCAAGACACATTTGGTTTGATTTTGATATACTGGGGCGGGGAGGAGGGGGAGTCCGATTGTAAACATCAACTGTATAATGCAAAAATACAAAGTTAAAGAAAGTAATGTAAAATAATGTAAACCAGAAATAAAATAAAGTTAGAAGTAACTTTTCAGAAATATGTAAGAGCTTGTTTTTAAGTAAATTCCTCAATATTGATGAAAATGTTCTGGTTCAATCAATCAGAATATTTTACTTATGACAAGGGAAAAGTATCTTATAAGTGAAATAATCTTAACTATACTTAAAAAAAATTCAGTATTAACCAGTTATTGACTTAAAACAAGCTCCTATATTTTGCCGAAAAGTTACTTGTAAGATCATTTTAGTTTTATTTCTAATTAAGATATTTCCACTACAAACTAGACCACTCCTATGCTGTTTTTGCAGTTTTTCTTTTTTGAGTCAAATAAAAAAACAAAAACAGAAAACTTTATTTTAACTTAGAGATGCCTATTTAGCTCCACTGGACATTTTAAATCAGAGCAAGTGAATGAAAACCCAGACATGTTTGATCTAATAAAGTTTTATTTTCTTAGAAATGGCAAGTTTTCAGTTTTCTTTTGTCTTTCTAAGAAAGTATACCCCTTTTTGAATTTCAACTAGCATCTACTAATGGTTATTGAATACTTCACAATATATTAAGTCTAGATGTTATGGTACATGCATACGATTCAGGCTGCATGAGGAGCCAAAGTCACCACGATACACTGGGAGGAGGGCAGAAACGGGTGGGGGAGGGGAAGGGATACAGGGCGCTGCAGACTGACCAGGTTCCAGTTAAAAAGGGGGCTGTGGCGCCCCCTATTGAAACCCTCTCCACAAAACACTGACTGCATCAACATATAAACACACACACACACACACACACAAAGTTTGCACTGTACACGACACACATTTACACACACCTCTTTATACAAGTGTGGAGCTCCTCCACCGGCCATTTAAACTAACTCACAGGAGAGGGTTTAGTGTTAACAAGCTTCTCTTTCACAGAAAGAAATTCACCACTGGAACCTTTCAGCTTCTGCAGTCCGACGTGGCGGGAGGTTGGGAGGGGAAGGGACGCTAACCAAAGGAAAAAACAAAAATAATAATTATAATAATATATAATAAAATAAAAGACATTCAAATACAGTCAGCTTTTTGCTTGAAAATACAAAACTACATGAGAAAGCATTGAAATAAAATCCATTCATCAGAACATATATATATATATATATATATATTTTTTTTTTTAAAAAAAGCCCAAGTGCTCCATTTCTCTCTCTCTCGCTCTCATACACACACACATACACACACGCACGATCAACCTTTTCCTTTTTTTTGTTTTTAATCCAATGGGGATGGCAGCTGCAAGGAAGCAGGAAGTCTTTTTAACCGCGGTTCATAAGAGGATTAGCTGTGTGGAGATCTTCATGCCTTAAGTGCCACCAGGTGGACCTTGAAAGCCCCTCAGAGCGACCCACCCTTCCCAGTCTTCTTTGTTTACAGTCTGCAGCGAAGAATCGCTTCAGGAAGCTCCACGGCTCCCTCTAGTGACCCGCTGCAGCGAGTGCGGCTGACGCTTCCTCTGCAGCCTCTTCCACTGAGAGCGCTGAGCTCAGAGTCTCTCTGGGTCCTTATAGCTGCAGGCGGATGCACGTTTAGAACTGGGTGTGTGTGAGTGTGTGTGTAACTGTGTGTGTAGCTGTGTGTAATGCAATGTGTTTGTTTGCTTATATGAGGGCGTTAACTCGAGCCGCCGCCTTCAGTTATGTTGTAGCGTGTTGGACTCGATGGGCGGCGCCGAGTCGTACAGAGTGTCCGTGTCATGTGTGGGCTCTCCGGCCAGCGTACACGGGTTGGACAACGTTCCTGCGCCGCAGTCGCAGAAAAACCTGGAGGAGAGCGTGAATCAATAAAATTAACATCTGTAGGCGACCGATTGTGCTCTGTAAAACTTGAGGAAAACCATGAAACTTATGGTTTAATCACGTTTTTAATAAAAGTTTTAAATCAACACGCCTGTCCTCTAAAGAAACGTCAACTGGAAGATTTTCTCAAAGTCTGGAGGCATTTTTCTAACGAGCTTTGGAAACAAAAAAAAGGAAGCAAATATGAATTTAACTGACGAAATTTAAAAATAAAGAACGAAAGAAGCTCACCGATCGTGTCGTATAAACTCTACGTCGTGTCCTTGGTGACACTTTTTGATGCAGTTAACACAGATGGCATTCCTATCTGTTGTATTACAGGTGTGACACCTAGAAAACCAAATAAATCCTTTAAATAAAAACTTAAAACGGCAATAAAAATGATAAATCAGACCCATTTAAGTTTTTTTTTTACCTATAGAAGTCGTGCATGGGGTAACTGGTGTAGCTGGAGATCTTGTAGAGACACTGTCCTCTGCTCACCGCCTTCTCAATGGCATCCTGATTATTCTGAATTTTATTATCTGATGGGGAACATTTAATAGTTAGTAAGCAGATATAAACTGTGAAAACATAAGATAAAGTATTTTTGGTTGAGTTTCTTTGTACACTTGAAATAAGACAAAATCTACAACTTTTAGCAAAATACAGGAGCTTGTTTAAGTCAATAAAGCCTTAATATTGATAAGAAATTACTAGTCACACTGGCAAAAAAAATGTCTTGTTATAAGCGAAATAATCAGCCATTGGAGCTGGTATATTTTTGATCAATATTAAGTAGATATTTACTTAAACAAGCTCCAATATTTGCTGAAAAGTTACTTCTAAGTTAGTTTTGCCTCGTTTCAAGTATACAAAGATATTTGCAGTAGAAAATGTTAAAATATTCTTTTAAACTTTGTGTTTTTGCAGTGTAGCACAGCCACAACATGCCCAGCTGTAACGGACATAAACAACCTTTTACCTTTCATGGTGACATTAACTCCTGAGGCCAGAAAAAGCCCCCCGAAGCGGTTGTTGAAGATCTGGTTGCCCTCCAACGTTGCCGTTGCGTGGTTAGTGATTTCAATACCTGGTTTAGTGAACGACACGTCAACTGTAAGCCAAAAGGAGACCAAACGATGTAGTTTTTGCTCTAGAAGAGTCTGTGATGCCAACCTGCAGCAAAGCCGTCAAAAATGCGGTTCTTGCGGAGCGTGGGATGGCTGTTGGTGCTGATGAGCACGCCGGCCTGCGCGTTCCTGAAGATGTCGTTCTCTTCTAGCAAACCTGCAGGGAAGATGTTTCTTCATACGCTTCAACAGAACATGTTGGGAACATCTGGATCTCAATAAATTACATCTGGATTGAAACAGAAGGCGAGCTGCACTAAAAATAGGGCTGCGAGTTATCGGTTGAGGATTTAATTTAAAGTTAATTGATCTCTTAGGTTACTGAATATAAAAACTAAAGATGAAAAGAATATATGAAGCTCTTAATTCAGAGATGCATAATTTGCTCTTGAAGAAATGATAAAACTTCGCTCCATGAAGTTCATTAACTCACGACAGTCATCAAAATCAACCGTGCTTATTGGCAAGATGCTTTTTTTCCATCATGTTACAATTATTTCCCGTTAGTAAATCTGTAATTTTTGATCGAGAAGTTGGCGCCGCTTCGGCTGAATGAGCGCCGTTATGGAGCTTGTTGAGTATTTTTATTTAAAAACAGAACCGCATAAAGCCCATTTTCAAACCCACAGTCTATGTTGGAACCGTTTCTCTTTCCCATTCTAGTATGACTCCTCCATGTTTGTTTCTGTATCAACTGGCTTAAGGCTGGCCAGTGGCACCCTCTGCTGGATAGTGGCTAAACTACAACATTTAAAGAAGATCTGAGCTGACGTTATTAGTTTATGGAGCCAATTTAAATCTAATAAACCATTTATTTAATTAACATTTGTCAAGATTTGTGAGTGCACTCGATCTTGTGACAGCTGAGTTTCTGTACCTCGGCCTCCGTTGAAGATGCAGATGCCTCCATCTCTGCCGTCATGGATCTTATTCCTCCGCAATGTAGGATTGCTGTCTGTCTTGATCCACACTCCCGCCATGGCATTGTCAAAGATTTCATTGTCCTCGATGAAGCCCAACCCTGCGACATAACAGCAGCGTTAGATGAAGCATTGACTCCACGTTGGACGTCCCACTGGTGCCGTGAGAGACGTAAATACAAACCTGAGTTGTAGACCAAAATCCCTCCATTCTGCCCTCCCCAGATCTTATTGCGCCGTATCTTTGGGTTGCTTCCCGTCCTGCCAATTAAGACAGACTCAATTATTTTCTGCTGATTTCAAAGGAAGACGAGTTTCAATACATGATTGAGTAAAATAATCTGGTTTTATCAAGTTCAAAGTATGGATACTTTCTGATTAATGGCTTTCAGATACCCTCACTCGCCTCAAAAATCCCTTGATAGTAGGTCTGAGTAGTACGGTTTAAAAATAACATCTCTGATTTTTTCAAACCAGATTTGATTTTAATCATTTTTTAATGGTTTTCTTTTATAAAAAAGAATTTACAAATGACAGAAAATATTTCAAAAAGTGGCTTTTACCCCAATCATCCCTTACGATGCAGTTTTAGGACCATTATGCTAGATTGTTTGTCTAATTACAACAATATAGACACAATGAACATCATTTACCAGACGAATGTCCTAAAATTCCAAGAAAAAATTGTTTTAATGAGGAAAAAATAGTTAGCTATTGTGTTTTAGTTCCCATAAAAATACTAATTTATTCTCCAGGTTAATTTTACTGCACTGCAGAAATACTTGGGTGTAAATTACATACATAGCATTGATTTCAACAGGATTACTGTAGCATGGGACTAGGATTATGTTTTGGCAACAAACTAAACGATTTCATTTGAAATTTTGGACTGAAAAGAAAAATATCTTCATCTCATTCAGTGTTTTCTTTGAATACGCAGGTATTCAGAGTTGTTACCTTATCTGTACACCAGAGTACATGTGATTGTAGATGTCATTGTCTTCCAACACGCCGTGGCCATTGTCATAGAAATACACGCCAACCTAAAGGACAAAAAACATTAAATTAGTGGCAAAAAGGAAAAATGGCCAGTTTACCTTTTGCATATTTCTTAAAGCTAGAAATACAGTGTTTAATGGTGATACTAAAAATATAATTCACAATGAGATAACCAAAAATTATCAAAGGATATTTGGTTCAATGTTAAATTTCTGCAAAATAATAAGCAGTTAAATTAACATTTACACCACACTTGAGCATTTTTATGATTATCGACTTCTGTAATTCAGAAAGAATACATTAGGAAAATAAAGTTTTATGAAACAGATGGGTATGTGGGTGTAAATTGGCAGCTCATGCATCCATCTGAATATTTAAGGAAACTACCACAGTTTACTGTTAACTTTTTGTTTTTATTTTTTTAATAGTACAGCATTTTCTCCATAATAAGGTTTTTGAATTTAAGACAAATATCACACACAGGCCTGTCACAATAACAAATTTTCGCTACACGATAAATTGTCTAGACATTATTGCTATAAATGATAATATTGTTGCTTTGAGACAGTTTTGATGTAATATAATGTCATAATAATGCAATAACATACTTTCAAAGATAAAAATAATTAAACTCTAATGAACATTTAACAATGGAAATGGAAGACATTCTAACTATCCTAAATACTAAACAAAAACAGACAAAATTAATTATGAAGTCTCTGAAAACAAAATTGGTAGGAAGAGAGAGAAATTAGAAAAATAATAAGAAATTAATGAGCTGTCTTTAATTAATATGCGATTAATTGATTTATTGTGACAGGCCTAAATGCTCATGTCTTTAAGAAGAAAATTATGTTTTGTCAAGTTGTTGGTAGAAATGATAATTTTCTTAAACCAGCCTCTGTGGCTGGTGAAAGAAAATGTATACATTTGCTAAAACCTCATTATTTGTTTTCTTTGAAACACAGGAAAATCCTGACATGCAGTAGCAGATAAGTAAATAAACCATAAGCAAGGTGATTTTTGTGTACCTGTTTGCCGCTGTGGATGCGGTTCTTGCGGAGGACAGGAGTGCTCCCTGTGGTCACCCAGACTCCAGCCAGCGTGTTGCTGTAAACCTCGTTCTCCTCAATCACTCCCTGGCCTTTCTCATGCTGAAATAAAACACAGGACCGCTCATCACAGGATCACATTTCTCCCCCTGCTACAGTGGATTTGGACAAAGATTTAAGGAGGAGGCATTTACCACGTAGATGCCTCCATGCTGCCCATCGTGGATTTTGTTGTGCCTTACAATGGGGCAGCTGTTTGTTCGGATCTGAATCCCAGCCAAGGCGTTACCATAGATGTCGTTACTTTCTATTAACCCACGGCCGTCTCCAAATATGTACACTCCACCTTGGTTACCGTTGAATATAGCATTTCCACTGAAAACAAGAAGAAGGAATAAGGTGAAACAAACAAATTTGTACACTTTTCAGGAACTTTCAAGGTCAGTTTGCAAACTTTTGCAGCACCAAAGAGATAAAAACAACACAAATGAACTACAATAAAAGCTTCAATTCTAAATGATATTTATTACTGTTATTAATAATGACTTGCAATAGTAATCCACTAAAATATAACAAAAAATTATGTTTTGAAATGTGTCTCTTTCACACACCCTGTACGCCTGATTGGTCCAAGAACAAAACACTAATTTAACAACAATTTCAATAAAGTTGTTTAAGGTGTAAAATATAAGCCAACCTTTATTTTAATAAGTCACTGAGCCGTTAAGAATAATATTTATTACACTGAAACAATCCAAACATATCATGTTAAAAGATGCTCTTGCAAAGTTTTCTGGCGTTAAGCGTATATAAATAATTTAGGTAATTTTAACTAAAGCAAGAAAAGAAGTTTTTTTTATTTGGTGTAGAAAAATATCTAGTTTCAACTGTAAGAACAGTTTTCCAAATTTAACCACATGATAGATTTCACTTTATTACAAAACTGTGCTGTTTGAATATTAAACACTTTCAAGGACGTTATACAGAAATCAAGCACTTTCCAAAACCCTGGAGACACCAAACTGAACTTAAAGGATTTTCAAGGATTTCAAGCACTTATATGAACTCTGCTTCTGGGATGTCTGCGATCTTACCGTATCGTCGGGTCGCTGTTGGACGTGATCCAAACACCAGCGAAGTTATTGGCATAGATTTTGTTTTCTATAAATTGGCCCCGCCCCTTTTCGTGGACGTAGATGCCTCCCGTTTGGCCGTGGTGGATCTCGCAGCGGACCACCGTGGGGTTGGCGTACGCCTTCACCTCAAAGCCAGCTATGCGATTTCTATGGATGTTACAGTTCTCAAAGTAACCCTACAACAAATGGGGAAAAAAGACACACACAGGTGAGGTTGTGTGAAGGAGTCGCTCGGGGTAAGACGTGTCGTAGCTCCATTCACCATGCCGTGATCGAACGTGAACACTCCTACATCTCGTCCGTGATGAATGTGGTTACGCCTAATGATGGGGTTACCGTGGTTCTTCACCCAAATTCCCGCCAGCGCGTTGTTGCTGATTTCATTGTCCTCATAAATGCCCTGCAAAGACAAAAAGCTTTCGGTCGGCGAGACTCTTTGTGTTGCATGTCGCTGGTTAAATCGTGCCGCTTGATTTTACCTGTGCGTGGTCTGTGATGTACAGACCCACGTTCTCACAGTCGCTGATGTTGCAGTGTTTGATGGTTGGACAGGCGCCCTGTCCGCTCACACACACGGCTGAACCCACTGGACACAAAGACGAAAATAAAGGTCTTACAAAACTGGAGATGCACCGATCCGATACTCATATCTGTATCGGTATTAAAAAAAAATAATAGATCAGGTTTCTGTGACAATGTGGCAGATCTATTCAGTGTAACCCTATGCTTTGTGTTTTGAGCTACATCATACTTTATTATTTATAATTCCTAATTGCACTTTCTGAATCATTTGAAAGAAAGTTTATTGCAGATTATTTTGCAAAAGGCAGACAACCTTTTGGTGTGTTTAAATGTGCTGTACTGTTCAAAAAAACATTTCAAGTGAGCTCAATACTGTTTTTACGTATATAATAATAAACCTCAAATCCCTGCACAAAACATAAAAACCTAAAAAAAAAAAAGGCATCTTTTTCTGTATAAATATACAGATTTTAAAACTTTAACAATATATTAATGGAAAGCATCTAGAGTGTATTTGAAAGGTGTTTGTATAGACTGTCTAAAACCTTTTGCCCTGTAGGCCAAAACTGGCAAATTTAAACAACTGGCCACAAAATTCATTACATTAAAAAAAAAAAATGCAAAAATTAGTTTATTGTATTTTTTTTCTTGCTCAACAATAAACATATTTTTATTAAGTTTGTGCATCATTAAAGATACAAAACATAAAGAGGCCTCTTCAAATTCATTGTAAGACTTATTACTAACAGCATCACAAGGATACTTGGATGATCTGAGTTAAGACGACATTAAATTTCCCTTTGGGATAAATAAATGCATCAAATCTAAGACTTCCCACCGTTTTTGATCTATAAACCCATCAACCAGCAGTAACGGGTATCGACATGTAATTCTTTCATTTCATTTTTGTGAGTTACTGGGTCTATTTCTCAGCAGGGTGATTTGACTTTTTCAACACAGATATTTCTACATTAAAACGCAAAAAGAGTTTGCTTCACATTTGGCGCCATCTGAAAAATTCCAACGTTTTCTAAAAGGGGAAACGTTTCGCTTTCCAGCCAATATTGGGTTATTATGGAAATTAATCTGAAGGGAACTCTGTTAATGGATGGTAAATTACAACGATAACTTGCTAGATATCGAAAGTTCTAGTTGTTATGGAGAAATGGGCAAATATATGTTTACTCACAGGACATTTAAAGAACTGCGTACAATTAAAATAAGCAAAAATATCCAGGCGGAGATTTTAAACGTAGGTCTCAAAGAGTTAAAGTGTACAAATATTAAACCAGGAATGTTCTTCAATCAACCATCAATCCAGACTATAATCCAAACTGAGAACCAATTAAAAAAAAAAGCTACTTGAAAAATAAAATAACTTGATCAAACACCAGTTCAGACGTGTGACCAAAAAACAAATGTTTGCACTTTACTTTTCCATTTTTATTACCTGCTAAACCAAAATAAGCAAGTTTGAAGTGTCCAGTATTAAATGTCAGTTTATTATACCAAATATAGGGATCATGTCTACTTATCACAAACTAAAATCCTTTCAGTACACACTACTGCTGCAAAGTGTGGGTTTATCAGATTATAAGGAAATGTGATGAAGCGTCCTCTGACTGGAACAGGAGGCGTTGGTGTGTGTGTGGTTACCTGTGCATGTGGAGCGGATGATGCAGTGGTCGATGTTGGGGCTGCAGTTGACTGTGATCTCCAGACAGTGGTGGGCGTTGTGATGCTGCGCCGATTTATCATCTGGATTAAACTGAAGAGGGAACAGAAGCCGAGGTCAGACAGAGGACAGGAGTGCAGACAGCACTTCTGTCTGCCCACCACATCCACACAGCACTCTGTAGGTGTTGGAGCCGCGACCAGCTGAGTTATAATATAATGAGGAAATAGGATGATTATGGTTCGCACCATTTACGTAACCTTGCTTAATAGAGAGCACACACTGCTATTCTTTTGCCTTATCTATAAAAACTGGTTCAAAGTCTTTGAATCAGCTTTTATAGATACTTCAATCATTGCAGATCTCATTAAAATCCCAAGTTATTCCACTGTATTAATAGCACAGCATTTTAGATGGACCTGTTTTAATTAAACTCTAGTTCATTTGTCTAGAAATCTGGTTCGTTTGCGCAGGTATGAATGTCCAATCGAACTGACGCTGACCAAAAAAGCAAACTCTGATGCACTTAAAAACATGCGAGTGTTGCACTATAAGAGGGAGAAATGGCTCATGGGCTTTTATCAAAACAAAAGAGAAATCCTCCAACGGGCAAATTCTCACGCCACTCCATTTTTGTTTACATTTTATGAAGTAGGAAGTTGCGGTCTTGCATTGTGAGCTCAGTTTCACAAACCCACTCCTGATTATTACGTAACCTGCAGATATAATAAATGACTAAAAGATAACTTCTAATAGCTAAAAAAAACTCAGAAAGCAACATATCTACTTTTCACAGCACTGTATATTATTCTACACTTTCTGTCATTTGCAGTCATTTGTTTTAGTGCAGAGGCTACAGTGTTGTGAGAGAGCGGTCTCTGTTAAACAAGGTTTTCATGCATTTCAAAATAATTGTGAGATTGCCGTCTTAGACCCTCCACACAGATTAAAAAAAAAAAAACATACAGAACTTGAACATGTCGTACTGAAAGCTTGATATCAATAAAACCTTAGATGTAACTCATGTCAGAGTGCTTGACTTGTTTATTACTGGAGTCGAACCCCAAGAAGGGTGAGAAAAGGAAGTGCAAAGGGAGAAAGATGCGGATGCAGTTACAGCTTTTCAAAGTAAGACAATCATCAGATGTACGTTGCTGCAGACACTCTGTAAGACCCTCCCAGAAAATGTCCCACTACTGGACGTAACACTCGCACTGAATGACCACAAATCTACAATTCACACACGCTGACAGAAATCTGCTTACAATTCCTTCATGAAAAAAAGATTTTGTCTGAGACAGAAGGTAATTGAGCAGCGAGAACCTGGTTTAACATCTTATAATAGCAATTAGCATGGCTAGCTTTACCAAAACAGCAGTCTGTGTGAATACTGGAGAGAATGCACAGCCTGTTATTTATGCAAAACTTTCCAAAAGGCTTTCAACATTTCAAAATTCATGCAACGAGGAAGCTTTTTCTGATGGGAGAAAAACAAAAAACAAAACTGGATTTCTTAGTAATATCAGAAACCTGAAAACATCCAAATCTGCAATTTTTGTAGATGAACTATACATTTTCTTTTAGTTAAACAGAAAAATCCCATGTTCTAAACTAATGATTATATTCCTTATTATGAATTAGTACTAAAAATATTTGTATTTATTATGACAACATTAAGAAAAATATGACAAGAGGGTATTTGTTTACCTTAATGGTCATGTATCCCACATATGCATCCTCTGAACCCTCCATGAAGACAAACGTTGAATCTCTAGTATTCTCTATGACGACTTTGTCTGCTACTTTACCAGGTGCTGAGAGGGAAGCGGAGACCATCCATCAAACAGAGAGGTTGGTAAGCATACAGACTGCCTATAGAAGAATTAGCAAATCTTCAGCGTCTCTTTATGATGGCCACATACCTGCACCAATCATGGTGATGGGAGACTCTATATAAATCCACTCATCGGTATAGATGCCAGAATGAACAAAGATGAGACCGTCAAAATGGGCTTCTTGAACACCGCCGAGAGCGTCCTCAATGGTGTCGTAATACTGCGAGAGGAGAGACACAAACACTTTCAGGCAAAACTAGCGCATCCTTCCACAATTTAGAGAAGTGATGATCGAACGGTAATCAACCGTTTTATCTTCCAGCTGAGGGTTTGGACTTACCAGCATATTCTCTCTGCCTTTGTATCGGCCGGGGTTACTGTAGAAATGTTCAGCAAAGCCGGGCTTTACGTGTGCACCTTTGTACTGCAACACAAAAACATCAAAACTAGTGAATGTAGGTTGGATATCAGCTTCTGTAGGTAATTTTGCTTGTTAAAAGTGAAAACACCACCAACGCTGATATACAATCGCTTCAAACCCGGACTGTATAATGAGAGGTAATAGTTTTCACAAAGATAGCAGGGTACTCAGCTGTAGATTCTTCAAAACTAGATATCCTGACCAGTTATGAGCCTACTACAACACCGTTAACATCTGCAGTCATATTGCTCCTCTGGTTTAAAGTCATATTGATGAGATGCTAGAAAAAACCAGAGCGACCTGTTTTTTTTTTTTTATCTATATGAGGAAAAGAGTAGCACAACACTGCTCCTTCCATTGTTGCTACTTTTCGTTTGTTTTTGTTTTTTTATAATGAAAAACCAATTTAGTCCTTTAATATATTTCTCAAAACAAGAGAAGCACCAAACTACTGTTATTAAAATAATGCTGCCTTCAAATTACAATAAACGAGCCTTAAGAGGTACAGCCAATCTGCAGGCTGGCTACCGGAGCAGATAGCCCAACTAAGTATCCAGCAAACATCAGCTTGTTATACAGAGCAAGATGGCAAATGTGTTACACAAACGTGTTAAGCAGCTGAAAACCGAAGCTAAACATTCCCAGCGTTTGTTCTATACTTATGATTAGTGCTTTTCAGTTTTAATTCAATGTTAAATAAGATTTACATTTGAAACTTATGTAAAACTTGTAGCAATAGAGTAAAAACGTTGTTTTAGCTGAAAGGTTTCATACAGTGACAATCTCATTCTGTCCAACGCCTGATCCAGACGTAATAAACTAAAACCATCGACAAACGAAAGGAAGTTGAAACACTAATTACAAATCTATTCAATATCAATAGTTGAGTTTATTTTTATGCAACATGACCAAATATTACTGACAAAAACTCAACAAGGTTATTAAACCAGTTTAAATAATAAAAGGCATTACAGAAGCTTATACAAAATATTTTTTTAACAAAAAACAAACAGATTATAAGAAGTCTGAACAACAGCATCTTGTTGTTGGGGTGTCCAAACTGAACAAAGCATTAAATGAAGAGAAATGTATAAATTAATTAACAAAGTTGTACTAACCAGTTGCTGAAAGCTGTCTTTCCACGGGTTTGGATGCTCGTGCTCCTCAGGGCTGACCTGGTAAAACCGGCCTGGCTCAGGATGCATCATGGGACGCGTGTACTCAAAAACCTCCATGTATAGCCGTTTCCTTGAAATCGGGAAAGGAAAAGTACAGACTCTTATAGGTCTATTTTGCTTATTGATTAGGATATAAAGTAAGAACAAATCATCTTACCATAGGATGGGGTCGTTTGCTAGCTGGCTGAATCTCTTGCACACGCAGGCCGCCTGGCAAAGGTCCTGCTCCAGCAAGTAGGAAAAAATCTTCAAAACCACCTCATCTGGAAGCTTCTGCTGCAGATACTGCTCTGCTGGGGCTGCTAAAAATATACAAATACACACACACACAAAAAAAGGCAGTGTAAGTCTGAAGAAAAGGTCAACATTACAGTACAGATGGACTGTAATGCAACAGTGCAAGAGTGGAACTCAGCAAAAAGAAAAAAGAAAGAAAGACTAAATCAAACTAGTAAACACTGCCCATCATGCTGAAGAGCTTAAACACACCTGGAAGGTCGTGGGTCTTACCGGACACTCGTGCCCGCTTGGCTCGATGACCGAAGGCATCTGTTGATGAAGTGGAAGCTCCCTGAAAATGCAGCAGAGATTTAAAGCTCAGAGGGATTCAAAAGTGAATACGACAACAAATCGGTATCTCGCCCCTCTTCACGCAGCAAAAATGCAATCTGCAGTAAAAATGCAATCTGCAGCAAAGCACAGGCGCAACAGCTTTCACGCTCACCTCCATCAGGCCCTTGCTGGGGCAGGCAGAGGCGGTGGCAGAGGCGGTGGCAGAGGCAGCGGTGGTTCTCTTAGGAAGCAGGGTCTTGCGTCGAAGCTGGTAGGGACTGTTCTGAGCGCCGGGGCCGGACTCCTCGATAGCCATTTCTGCTGCAGCGGCCGCAGGAGCCTCCTCATCTAAACAGAAAAGCATTGTGGGTGTTAAGTAGAGATGCAACAATCAACTCGATAGACATCTCAGTACTTAAAAGTGTCAGATTTCCCCCCTCTATGCTTTATAGAACTTCCACCATTTTCAGTGTTTTCACACCTTGTAGTCTGGAAGACTCAGTTAGACTGGGAACGAAAATTGCAACATTTTTTACATTTTCAGCTGGGGTGGTTTGCTTTAACACTGCACTGTGTCAAACAAACCAAAGTGTTTGAAAAACCTGTTCAACACCTCGCCTGTGGTGGTGCTGCACCAAGAACCACTGAAGAAAATGACACAAAAACCTCTGACAAAGACATTAGTGCAACATTCTTCTTCGTAAAATGTAAACAAATGGCGTAGCGTCAGATTTTAGTGGTTGTAGGATTTTTGTTTTGTCTTTGGCTAAAGAGTTGAGCCATTTCTCTCACTAGCAATAAACTTGTGCGTTTGTTTAGTTTGTATTTACCCAGAATGCTGTTGCACTACAGCTTGTTTTTTTCTGTTAAAGCAGTATCCGGTCCACTTGGTATCCACATACCTATTCAAACAGCACCACAATCCTTTTAAACAAACCAAAATCTAGGCTTTTTGGCGAACCAGAGTTTCCATCAGAGTTCGATTATTTACTCACACCTCTCCAACGAACCGGACCATCTAGACAAACAAACTAGAATTTGATTAAATCGGACCAAACAAGGCTGGTGTGAATGCACCCAAAGTCAATGATAGAATGTAATTTTAATGCACATTTCTGAATTAAAAAAAAAAAACAATCAGAAAAAGGTTATGCTTTGAAGAATAATTCAAATAATCTAAATCCCCTTTTTTTGTTGTCAGATTCAAAACTAAAACTTGCAGCACATTTTCTCTCTATTATGTTATAACCCTAAGAAAAACAACAAAATGATCAAAATCAGGGTCACAAGTTCAGATATCAGAAATCAGTCAGGAAAAGCTTCATCGATGCATCTCTAAACTGAAGCATACAGTCATATGTATATGTTAGAAAATCTTCAGGCCTTTTTATTGCGACTAATTGAAAAGTAATATGTAAAAAAAATTGAAATAATGGAAATACCTCAAATTTTGAACATTCAAATTGAGTATAATGTCAGTGTAGAATGACAGTCATGCTTTCCTGTATTTTTACAAATTTGTTCTTTGATTGCTCATGTGTAATTGCCTTTGGATTATTTCCTTACAAATAAAATTATATTTCATTCAATTCGTCACAATGTCAAAACACAAAGTATGGCAATATGAAAAAAAAACAACAAAAAAAAGAAAACTGTCTTTTAGAAATTTTGCCAATATTTGTGGTGAATATTTTAGTTCTATCGGATTTTAAAATATTTTGATTGTAATTAAGGGACAAAATAACCCAGATTTCAAAATACTGTAACCACCTCAAGTTTATACACTAAAAAGTCTCAAGTCTCTGAAACATCTTTACTTGCTTTGTAGATGAAAATTATATAAAACTATTTAGAAAATTTTATTAACACACTTGTTAAAAACATCACATAAGCTACATGGAGTATAAATATAACTAGGAAAGTTACAATCAGAGGTTGCACATTGATGTATTATACTTTTACTGTCATGCTAAATATTGATAATACATTAGACCAGTGGGGAGGACTTCCACTGCCCTAATACCAACAATATTGCACATTATAATTTTTTAAAAATTAACATTTGGTCCAACAAAACTGTGTTCAGTTAGCTAATGTTTTTATGTAGCTATGTTTTGAATAAAAAAGTCTGACTTGATACATAAATACATGCTTGCTAACTTGAGCAAGGTCTTTATTCCATAAAATGTTTATTTTTATTGTATTCAATTTCAGGCTTTAAATGTAAAATGCTTCTGGAAAATAATGTACGAATATTTTATGTTGCCATCAATAGTGGTGAACAAGGGGACAATAAAAAAATAAATTAACTGACATTCATTATGAGTACAAAAAAAGCAGAACACCAAGAATGGTGTGCTGAACATTTTATGGCAATGTGTTTTATAATTTTGGCTCTTTCTCATGATTCAATCTAAATTGAAGCTTCATAAAAAAATATCAGCTAATAAAACACACTATTTAATATTTAGCCTCCACATACGATCGTTTAATAGTTATTGTATGACCCACATTCGGTGTTAAAGCAGACAAAGGTTGGTGATTGATAACGGAAGATGCGCTTTCTGCAGATAAGCTACCTCTTTTCATGTGTAGTTAGTTACCCTGAAAAGATCCTGATCTGTATGCATTTGTCGTTGTCCCAGCCACAACCACACTGGTCTTTTGTGGTGCTGTCAAATCAGGGACAGCAGTCGATGTCGACTGCTAACAGCTAAAAACTGAACTGCGTAGCTGGCAAATCCGCGGTGTAAACAAATCAAGCCGCCACTAGCATAGACCGACAATCCGATAACAAAACGAGCTTCAAAGTAACAAATCTGAGGCTATTCGGCTGACCCCGGGTAATTAGCCCAAATCACACAGTATCCTCTGTCACAGCTGATGTGCGTGTCCTCCCGAGGCAAGAGCAACCAGCTAGCATTGCCCCTGGAGCCGCTGCTAATGTTTTTGTTAACGTTACACCCCAAAAATGGCAGTCCTAAAGGTTTGCACTCGCACAAATTGCTGTGACAGCTGGGAATGCAGCAGCCGAGCGGCCACGAAGCTTGTGATTACGGAGTGTTAGGCCGCCCCTTAAGCTTCAAGCTGGGGAATATATGAGCCATTTATGATGTCCGCCTAGCTACATACGCATTAAGCTAAGACAACCCCCACAGCCTCCTCCTCCTCCTAACCTGGTGAGCTAGCTATAGCCCCGATCACTCAAGCCAAACAAAGCGCGGCCTGGCCTGAGCCACAGAGCGAGAAGCCTCGGGTTTTCCTAAAGAAAAAAACCCCGCCGCCTCCAGGCCTGCTAAGTAGCTCGGTAGTGACAAAGAGGGTTACATAAAAGAATGGTTTCACCTAAAAAACCTTTGTTTAATACCATTAGCTGACCGTGGCCTAGCTTACCTCTATCCCCGTTGATTCGTTCGGGTTGCACCGGGCGCGGCCTCGATACTCGCCTGGGTCTCCTGTTGGTGGCTCTGAGGGAGTTCATCTGGGGAGTTGGTTGTCGAAAAATACGCCGCTATCCTCGACTGCCCACTGATAAAATATTGCCCCTCGACTGGAACAGCCACCCAGACGACCTTTCCCCCAAATATCCCCTCCAATAGCGACCTAAACCTCCCTGTTTTTGGGGTGTAATTGCTGTTTTTTCACCCCGCTCCGTGGTATTTCAGCTAACCCCCGTTTCACTGCTCTGTGCCAGCTCCGTCTCTCTCCGTAGCAGGAGGAGCCATTAACTCACACGGGAAACAATCGAATGGAAAAAAATAAAACACAACGTCATCTTAACCAATCACATTATGTGTTTCAGATAGTCGGTTTCAGTAGACCAATCAGAAGGCTCGTATCAAACGACTTCAAGAAGCCTTTCTGTTGCGATTCGGAATCGGTCAAGCAGCAGGAGTTTAAACCAGGGGCGCCTGTTTTGAAAGAGGTATCCAGGTGTGTGGGACCGCCAGTAATTTTGGGTTGACACGCCAAATCTAAACCCAAAAATGAATTTTGGGATTTTTATTTGGGAATTAATGAGATTGGGTTAAGGTTTGCTGCAAGATGCTACATACATTCAATAAATCTGCAGTGGAGAGTGTAATTTCTTCTGCCATCATCTATTGGGGTAGCAGCATCAGAATAAGGGATTTAAAAAGCTCAACAACAGAAGGACGGTTCTGTTGCGGGGACTACTGCAGAACCACTAAATGATGGTGTAAAGTAGGATTCTTTATAAAATCAAGAAAATTACAGATAACCCTGACCTTGAGACTACGTCTTCAGTCAGAGGCTTTTTCAAATGTGCTGTAATACTGACAGCTACAAGAAATCTTTCCTGCCAACTGCCATCTCTGCCTACAACAACTCTTTGAAGAATTTTAATTAATATGAGTTACAACAAAAACATTTAAATGAAGTACTTTCAAATTTGAATTTTGTGCTTAATTGTAGATGTGTCACACATAGATAATTATATTTATTTTTGCTGGTTTACTATAAGTCTGGTGATTATGGTTTACACAGAATGAAAATGCAAAAAAACAAAAAACAATTAGATTGGCAGGAGGTCTATAATTATTATAGACTAAAATACATGAACATGTGTTTAAATTAATCTATATAATACAAAAGATCCACTTTTTGAATTGCTGAAATAAATGAACATTTTGATGACAGTCTAATTGATTTGGATGTGTTTGTACTCTAAAAATCATCTGATTTGAACTGTTAAAGACATTTTGACATAAATGTACAAGCTAGATATAATGTAATTGCAGCGCCAGAAGTGAATCACATACATTTTCGCTTTTTGTTTTGGTTTCCTTGTTTATTCATATCAGTTTAAATCTTGCCTTATCAGCTAATCCTTTTGTATTTAGTTTCTTTGCTTAATCTTACAATTTTGTGCTTTTTGCATTTGAGTTTAGTTTCCTTTGGATTAGTGTTTTGGCTTCATCCACTTGGTTATTGTTTACATCTCCGTCATGTAAACATGAGGAGACGTTTGGTCTCCTTTCACAGCTGCACCCGGTTCCCAATCAGCCACCTAAGTAATCAAACTCTTCAGTATATAAGATCCTCATTCTTGTTCTTTCTTTGCTGGATTCTCTTGCTTATTCCCATTACGTTACCTTGTAGCATGAGTCTCTTGATAGCTCTTGCACTCCATGGTTCTGTCTTTTCCCAGAATCCCTTTGTGTCGCCTGTAAGTTTTTATTTTCTTTTCATTTTACCTCTTACCTCTGACTTTACCTGCATCTTGTAACTAAACACATTGACTCTTTCTGCTGTAAAATTTAAGGATAAAAAGCCAAATTAAGAAATATAATATGATGAACTTTGACAGTTTTATTAGTTCTTTATTTTCTTAAACTGTTTCATGAAGCACCTGAGCAATTGCTTACATTTGAGAGGAACAGCAGTAGCGACTAGATGCACCTGATATCATAAATAATGACACTTTTCAGGACAACCTTTGGACAAAAGGCCTTCCCTGTTAAGACTTGTAAGCTTTTGAACTCACTACCATTTCCTTTTAAGACCACAACTTGCATTAAAATGTTTACTTTAAGGCTTAGGAATTTGCTAAAGACAAACCAAACTGTCCGCATTTTAAATATTGTCATCTTTTTGGGTCAGTAGTTTTATGTAGATTGCTTTATAACTCTTTTTGATAATCATTTGTAATTACTGTTGATCTTATTTTCTTTTAAAATAAATGTTAAAGATCCCTCTAATGATGGGTGTTGCAATTTAGCTATGACTAGAAACACTAATGCGGGCATCATTTTATGTTTTTTGTATCTGTCCCTATCAAATAAACAATAACAATTTATCAAACCAAATAGAAGACTTAAACCTTTGAGTCAACTTTACTTATATGGCACCTTCCACTGGTCAAAAATAAAGTGCTTTTCAATTAAAAACAAACATAAACGCTGGAGATAAAAGCATACAAGAAAATATAAAAACAAAATACATATACAGCAATAGTGTTAGTTAAAATAGACGAGTCTTCAACAGCTTCTTAAATTATGACAGTCCAAAGTTGAAGGCAAAGCTTTCCACATTCTGTAGGTTTCCACTGTTTTCTCAGTTCTATATATTTTCTCTCTCTTTCTGCAGGTGTAGAAGCAGACTTATTGGGTGGTTTCTTGTTTTTTCTTTGTCTTTCTTTCTTTCCTCAATTCTTATCTTTTAACTTTTAACCTTTGTCCAACCTCTCTTATTGTCTTTTCTCTCGTCTTCCCTTTCTTTTCTGTCTCAGTGTCCATTGCATTTGAAATATTCCCAAATCAATATCTAGTAGTCTTGTAGTTTGTTTCTTACTTTTTAGTGAAAATTAGACTCAGTTGATTTTGCTTGAGGCCACTGGCGTTTTGACTGCTTTTCCTGCTGTACCAGATTGATTTCCACACATTTTTAGACCCAAAGTTTCAAGTCAGGGAAGTAAAGTTAGAATTAGAGGTGGAATTGGGCCACCAAACAAATAATCCAGTGTCCAGGTCCAGTTTCCTTCACTGCAGACAGCTAGCAAAAATAAATCTGAGTATGTTAAGAAAGAATATTGAAGGAGACTCATATATGCATTCATAACAACGCTGAACTATTGTAATGTATTCTGTCAATCCAGCAACGCATGTTGAGATTTGATTGAACAGGAGGTGTGAATTGTGGATGCACTGTAGACAAATCTGTTGCTGCTGTGATGTTGTCATGGACCAAATGTTTCTAACATCTTGTTGGATCTGTGGTATGAAGAAATGAGTCAGTTTTGAAGACATTCAACCTCTATCCCTTAATTAATTTATTTATATATATGAAAAATACCGTCTAGTAAACCCGCTTTGATGTAGGTCATTGTATGAACACTAGGGGGAGCTGTTTAGCTGCAGTACTGTTTGAAACCCGCAGCAGTCAGAACCGTGCTGAGCTCAGACGAGGCTGGGCGGACTCAGTTTTGTTTAGCTACATCCGTGAATGTGACCAGTTTTCAATTTTTAAAAATTTTTTTATAAAGTATAATTTATCTCAATGTGAAGAAGTATTTGGAATTGTGCAAGAACACTTTCCGTTGTATAGTGTCATGCTAACTTTTAGGCATGAATTCTGTTTTTTCAAGTTTTAAATCACCCTCGGCATACTTTTTAATCTTTTATTTTTTCAGAATATGAATTAAAAACTCAAATATGCACCTCCTGGATTAATATTTCACCTTCAAATTAACGAGGCCATCCGAGAACAACAATGCTAGCGCAGAAATCGTCTTAAATCTAGACTGACTTGAATAACCTGGTGGTAAAAATGCATCAACACGTTTAGCATGTAGGAGGCAGTGCTTCCATATCAATGAGATGGATTCCTTGCTGCAGCTGCAGCCTTGAAACTCAGGGTTTCTCTCTGGTGTTTGTGCAGGGCTTTATCTCGCTGCCATTTCCATCCACCTGTAATGAGCAGAAAACGCAGCTGTCTTTCCTCCAAGAAGCACCCACCCAATCGCAAAGCAGAGGTTACTAGGGTCTCTTTGTCCTTGAAAGCTTTGGATAAGCTGAAGGACATCATTGCAAAATAAAGAAAATACCACTTCATCACACAGAAAATACTCTAAAGAAAATTAAAGAAAATACTCAGATAGAAAGATTTACAAACAACTTTATCAAAAAAAAGGGACAACAATCCATCTACACATTTTGCACAAAAAAAAAGCCGCAGCATAATTACATCTCAAAGACGATTACATGACCTTCGTTTTGAGCAGAATACATGCTCATAGGCTGGAGGAGAATTGGAGGTATGAAGAGCTACAGCAGACAGAGTATGAGCAGATTATTAATCAGCAGATCCCTGCAGTGTTCTTTTCAATAAACATCCCTCACTCATAACATTAAACATTGAACAAATGTTGAATTTTTGATGCTGACGTCCCACGTGTAAAACTTTGGTCTAATTTATTACAAGCTATCTCAGTTTGCAGCGACATCTTGTCGCACCAGAAGGACGATGTTTGCTAGGCGATAAGACAGATGAGGTCATGTGTTTACTTTTACTTTTATACGGTTGAGTTGTTGGAAACTTTACCCATCTGCAGGTGTAATCTAGTTGTAACAAAAACAACTGTATGTAGGACAGCGTTTCTGACCCAGATTCAAGCAAAACTAATCTTCAGTTCTGTGTTTGCATAGATTCCTTCAGTTCATATGTTTTACACTGTGCTTTCAAATGAGGAGGCGATTCCTGGTGAGCTCTGTTTGTTCTCCAGGATCAGATATTAGGAGTTTCCAGTCAAATGCAATATGAATTCTTCTTCAAAGTGCATCTAATGCACATCATCTGTTTGTGAACACATTGTTTAATGAATTAAATGCGCAAAATTTGTTTCTTACAATTTTGTTTTGCAAAATCATAGCGCCACAACAATTAGCGATTAGCAAATCCAGCTTTTTTTTCTTTTTTTACTCTCAACCAGAAAGAAGTGCTCAGCTCATAAACAGCACATATATCTCCAAGGTCAGAGACAAATCGATCATTTGGTCCGAGCAGCAAACTGGACCCTGGCGTCCAAAGTGTTGGGCTGAAATTATTTGTAGAGCTACATGGAGCAGAATTCATCACACCCAACTTAACCACATCCTACCTCCATGTCAAGAAACCAGAAAGAAAAGCAACATGCTTATGTTTTGCACCTTGTGCAGTACCGTATATGTTAGTGGGATAAAAGTCGCAAAAGGGGCAAATAAACGGTTTATTACAGCATCTGTCATGTATGTTTTGACCACATAGCAGCCATGATGGCTTTTGTGGTGAGATATGTGGCATTTCTGCAGCTTCTTCAGAGACACAATTGGCCTCTTGGATGTTTCTCTGATTAACTCTCTACTTGACATATGTTAGAAGGCAAGAAGACTAAAACTAATCGATAAAAACAAAGAGATTTATATTCTTATATGCATTTTAGCACCGTTTCTTACAAAGTTTGAGCAGAGCACCATGGTCCCATACTGTAAATTTGTTTCTATAATGCTTGAGTCCAGGTTATATAAAGAAATACATTATTTTCTACTGTGTTGCTAAGTGACTTTAGCCTTAATGAGCAAAAGCTGTCAGCTAATCCCAGGAGTTCAACTCCATAACCAATTAATCATTTGGTTATGGGGTTAATTTGATAATCAGATTTCAATTCCTGGGGCAATATTTCAAAACTAGCTTTGAATTGTTATAATACTATGTGGCACATTAGTATATTTTTTCACTCTGAAATTAACTAAAACGTCACAAGTGCAACTTGAATCAACCAAGAAGTCCTTGGACCTTTCAAGAAGGAAATTCAGCAGGAGTTACAGTTGAGTTCAATCCCTCCCTCCTGACATCAAACTATTGTTGAATAGATTTAAAAAATAAAGGACTTTGTCTTTGCTTCGTCTACAAATTGATGTCAACTTGAAGACATCTACCGACATCTAAATGTACCAACCAAACCTGACTTTCTATGTCTTTGGTAAATGAAACAGAGTTTAGGGGCTATAAAATGTAACTTTCAACACATTTTCTGGGCTAACAGCATAAAGACGAAAACAGGTCAACCTTAAACAGCCACTAAAGGCGTCCACAGATGTCTAATGTTTGGAGGGACCAAATGAAGGCCAACCAGAAGGTTGGATTAACTCATTCATTTAAGAATATCCAAAATGTCAAACTGTTTAATTTCTCTTACATTTAAAGTTATAAAGTGCCACATTGCTTTTAAACATTTCTTTATCAAACGGTCTTTGGCTTCTGCGAGGGGAGAAAAAGAACCATCAATTGAAAGCCTTTAACTGCGATTACTTTGGTGACAATCAGAACTCCTGTTTCCCATCCAGACTCAACGTGTTGGCCAAGGAGTAAATGACGCGGCTGCTCTTCGGCGAGGTCCACGTCGGCTGCTGGCAGGACGAAGTCTCTGTCCGGTAAATTTGGGCTTGGGTCTTAAACAGGCCGAAGCGAGCGGCGAGGAGGAAGAAATCCCGTCGGAAGGTGTGGGTGAAGAAGGCGTACAGGAAGGGGTTTGAGCATGAGTTGATGGGGTAGAAAAGAACCAGCAGGAGCTTGGCGTCTGAGACGGTGATGAGCGGGAGCTTGAGGGCGGCGGAGACAGCGAAGAAGGAGATGGGCGCCATGCAGACAAAGTCGGTGAAGATGAGGACAGCCATGCGTTGAGCCACTCGGGTGTCGGCGTGAGCAGGCGCCGACGAGGGTTTGCGGTAGGTCAAGTAGATGCTGAGGTAACAACCGCAAACGCAGAAGAAGGCCAGGATGTTGAGGACCAGTAGAGAGACAACGTAGACCTGGGAGACCACGGACTCCACATCCATCGGCAGGCAGATACTCACCTGTACAGAGATATTCAGATATCTAAAGGATTAAACGTCTCAGTGGACTTGATTCTGTAACTTATGTCATGCAATATGCAAGGTTATTTGGAAACTATTGAAGGAAATAAACTTAAAGTTGACCTAGTATGTCTCCTTGAACAGGTTAGGATGGGCTATAAAACATGTTCATTACATTATTTATTTATTTATTTATTTATTTTTTTACACAAAATCATTTTCAGATAATGAGACATTTTAGGGCCTCTTCTCACTTTAAATCCAAATAAGCCACTGCTGGCCACGCCTCCAGCTCGATGTTTACACGCACACGTGTTGCAAATACATGTGCAATTATACAACCGTACATCATGGCAAAGCAGAAGTGGAGCCTCCTGAACAACCAATAAGATTGTAGAAGTTGTCTCTGAATTGTAAGTCAACAACAAAACATTTGTCTTTTCCAGCAGCCATTGTACAGAGGTAAACCCAGCTGGCCAAAGGTGCTGGAGTTCTCCTCGGGTTGCTAGGCAATGGGCTAAGCTTCGGTGGGGTTGCTAGGTAACGGCACAGTACCCATTGAGTCACTGTAGCCCTTTAATGGAAGAGGTTTATTACCCTGTCCTGTTTGTCTTATGGATGTCTGATACAGCTGGGGTTTGTGGAAACACATGTGACTGGAAGCACCTGGTTCCTCATTTACTAAAAATAAAAAAGATAAAAATAAAAAGCTGCTCAAACATTTGCCTTCATTAGGCACATATAATTCAAATTCTATCTCCGAATCATATAATTTAAACAAATATCCAGCTGTTTTATGAACAAACAGCGTCGTGAAGGCCAAGGAGCACGTCAGACATGATCGTCCACCAAATCTCACAGACTGGACAAGCAACGCATTAATCGGAGAAGCAGCCAAGAGGCACATCGGTAACCCTGGAGGAGCCGCAGAGAACCACAGGTCAGGTGAAAGAATCTGCTACACAAATGTGACTTGTTTGGAAAAATGCGAAGAGGAAAGCCCTGAAAGGTCCGATTTGGATTGCAAATTCAGAAAATATCTGAACAATGTCTATCCTTTTCCATTTATACACTACTGTGGAGTTCGTGGTTGCATCAGAGCAACATTTTACGTTCAGCTCTTGCATCTTAAAAGGTGTTCAACAACGAGCTACCTACTTTGCTGTAGCTGCTGACACCCACTGTGGGCAGCAATGCAGCCAGCAGGGAGAAGCTCCATCCAGTTGTCATGATGATGCAGGCGTGCCTCAGGCGAAGTTTGCGGTCGAGCCGCATGGCGTTGGTGATGGTGTGCCAGCGCTCCACAGTAATGGCTGTTAGTGTGAAAACTGACAGCTCACTGGCAAACACCTGTAAATCACAGTAATTTAGTATCTGAACACAGACACTGATGAGACACGACATTAATGTATTCAGGCAACATGATGTGCACACACACACACACACACACACACACACACCGTAAAAAAGCCTGCAGCTTTGCATCCGAAGCCCGTCTGCCAGTCAATGGCGTGGTTGTAATAGCGGCCGTGAGTGAACATGTCCACGGTGGCGATCACTAGCAGGTAAATGCCCATGCAGAGGTCAGCGAAGGCCAAGTGGCACATGAGAAAACGAGGAACCGTCAGCTTGGAGTGACTGCCTACATCCAGGGCAGCGGGAGAAACAAATACTTCAGCTTGAATAAAAAAATATATATATATATTGTAGTTTCAGCGCTGCACCAGCTGCGTTGCATAGAGGCAAACTGCACTGAAAAAGGAGACTGGAGCACCAAAGCGAAAAAAATTGTACTGATTGGTGACAAGTAATTGAATGAAGTTTGTTAAACGTAATTTATTTACGTTTGTTTAACTTGACAACTTAATAAACTTAATAAATTAACTTGGGTAGACTTGATGTGATCCCTGGTGACCTATTAACACGATATATTTAATTAAGAGGGATTGCTTGTTCTCTTTTTTCAGTGAGCAACCTGCAGCTCCAGAGACACAAGTGGCTCTTTGGACTTTACACAATGGCTCTTAATATCTTTGACTAAAAATGATAACGACATAACTTTGAAAATAGATAGAACAGATGAAGGGTTTTGTTATTTTTCAGGTTTTTTTTCCTGGAATACATTGCTCTTGGATAATTGCCACTAAAAATACCAATCAATTTTATTTTTATGTCTATTTTTGTCTTCATGAAGGGGAAAACTGTGTGCAAATATCAACATCCGATACAAAAAAACTGTTATCTTTTACGTTTTCCTTTGTAATAAAAACTCAAAAATAGGGATAGAATAATTACTATTTAAAAATTACAACATATTTTCTGTAGTTGATATTTATCAAATATGGTAAGATGTAATTTTTCAAAAGGCCAGGTAATATTTGCGGCTCTAAATCAGTTTTTATTTAGGAGAGCAAAAGTGGCTCTTTGGGTTGTAAAGCTTGCAGACCGCTGGTCCAGGCTACAGGGAGTGAAGAAGTGATGAAATTTGGTTTGTGTGGTCATTTTAGAAAATACAATCTTCCTATTGCTCTTTTTAAGATAACACTGTTACCAGGACAGTAAAAAGTCAAAATATTTTGGCACAAACACTTAAAAACTACCATTAATGTTCTTGGTAGACAGTCTTTATCAAGTTAATTACTTCTGAGAAATTAACTTGATAATGTTGTAAGTTTTTAGTGTAAGCTAAATGATTTTATGAAATTATTACTCTGTGTTATATTCTTAAATGTCTTTTAGTGACTTTATCATCAGTATGCACATCTTAAACTGCTAAAATTGTACAAAATGAATGACAAAAGAAAATCTTCTCTTTTAAAACCTCAGTTAAGAGCCAGAAAATCACCCCGCAGGGCAAATTTAATGTAGTTGCTCACATAGTTTGCTACACTTTTACCTAACAGCACCAGTAGAACCACCGTATTGCCAAGCAGTGCGAGAACAGAGATGATCCAGATGAGGATCCGCAGGACGACGGGGGACATTATGTCCTCACACGGATTAAAGCTGTCAGGCGTCGGGCTGCAGGAGACGGAGGTGGAGTTGGAGCAGTGCTCCCTGAAGAAGGCCGGGATGGTTTTCGCCTCGGGGTGGTTACACAGAGGGGTCCACCTCGATCTGTCGGGCAACAAAGTAAGGAAAAACGTGCAGCACCTGTTGGATAAAGTATCATTCTGATGTGACCTCTACCTGTTTCTGTGCATGTTTTTGAAGGCGCAGCAGTGTGAGGAGTACGTCAGTTTGGCTATGTGGAGTTTTGTGTAGCGCTGTACAATAGGAAGCTTTTTGAGGTGATAAGCAGATTCTGCTAACAGCTTCTTCAGACCGCCGAGGATGGAGTCCGGCAGAGAGCTGACAGCCGTCTGAGAGACGTCCCTGCAAACGCAGAGAAACACAACCAGGGTTTCAGGTCGTTTTCACCAATTATCCTGTTCTGAATTGCTTGCCATAGTGTTAGATCTGCCAGTAAATGCTGTCAATTATTTACTAAACGTATCCGATCCAATTTACATAAAGTACACTTAAAGCAACAAAATGACATGGCTGCAAAAACACACAATCTTGCCAGGTATTTCTGCTCTTGTTTCTACTGCACATATCTCTGTGCACTTGAAATAAGACAAAACTAAATTATAAGTAACTTTCAGAAAAAAAATAGAAGCTTGTTTTAGAACAATAATTCCTTAATATATGAAAAGTTACTAGTTCCACCTGCAGATTATTTAACTCATAACAGGAAAAGCGGATTGTTATAATTGAAAAAATCGGAAAATTCAACCAGAACATTTCTTCAATATTAAGGAATTATTTACTAAAAATAATCTTATATATCTTGCTGAATAGTTGCAATGTATTTTTGTATTATTTCAAGTGGACTGAGGTATTTGCAGTAGAAATTAGAGCAAAAATAGCTGGTAAGATTTTATGTCTTTGAGGTGAAGATGAAATTGCTAAACATCAAGAGAATAAATTCCAATCAATTAGAGAAATATAGATATTTTCACCAAAAGTTAAAAGTTATCACTAGACATGGTGAAAACATCCTTTTCATAAATTATGGGACTTTTTAAATATTTTTGGTTTCATCTTTGCATTTCAGTTAATTTTCTGGTCTGGCTACTTTTGGTATTCTCTTGATCCGTTTTTTTTTTTTTTTTACTTTTAAAAGTAAACATACATACATTTAAGAAAAATATTCAGATGACTAATAGAGCTGGGTGATAAACAATTTTGGGTTTTTGGAGGTTTAAGTTTTGCAAAATCTGTAATTTTTTTCCCAGCAGTACATTCATTGGGTTTCCATAGTTCAGTGTGATGTCATCACACGCAGGGCGGCCATCTTGTTTAAAAAGCATGTTTCCGTTTATCTGAACGCTGAATTTAGATCAACTCTCAGATGGAATATAAAGACCAGACTAAGTTTCTTTATTTTGAAATTATGAGAATAAAGTCATAATATTACAAGAATACACTCATAACAATACAGAGAATAAAGCTGTACAGACGAAATAATATGAGAATAATGTCACAATTTTAGCAGAATAAAGTTGTAATATTAGGACAAAGAAGAAGTTATTTTATGAGAACTTCAACATGAAAACTACAAACAAATTTGAATGAGGAATACTGAGCATTTTATGAAATTATACTTTGGTATCATTTTTGTAGATAAGGAAATACTTCATGTTTCAACGCATCAGCATCAAATTATCATCAGCAGAACTTAGAAACAATCATGCAAACGACTGGGTCTGTTTCGAAGAACAAAAATCACTGTTGACGCTTTTTTCTCAGAGTTTTATGACGTTCATCTGGTAAAATTGCATCTTTATTCTGCTAATATTATGAAGTTGTTGCAGCCTAATACCCCACAATACTTGCACAACTCACGTTGAAATAAAAGCCACTTTCTGGAAATGTTTTCTTTATGTTTTAGAAAGGAAAGCGAGAAAAAAACTTAAAACTGAAGCCATTTTATTTAAAATCTATTAAATAGACTCTATTGAATATTAGATAATTATCAATTTGAAATAAATATTTTCATACCACAGGAATTATTCTAATTTTAGAGATTAAATAAATGCAGGAATGAACCAGAACAACTTGTAAAACTGTCAAGCTGCTCCCGTTTGATTGACATGCTGGACAGTAGAGGACGTGTCTCTTCTTTGGAGGTGGGAAAATCTCGCGCATTGAAATTCGCTGCCTGCATTCGCTCACAATCTATCTTCTTTAACCTCCAATTTTAACCTTCATCCAGATTTCTGTTTTAAATAGAATGCTGACAGACTGTCGCCTGCTCTGACTTTAAAAGGTGGCGCTGAAGAGGGCGAACGATGAAGGCACGAGATAAGAGGGGATGTCATGCTTACAGCACCACCAACTCACTGGAACCCACAAAGGCATCGGGGCTGATGTGAGCAAGCTGCTTGTTTCCACTCAGAAGCCTGGAAAACGAGTTAAAAGCAGAGAAATTAAACGAGGAAGTTGAAACTGCGTGCTTGTAGCTGTGCGTCTGTCCGTGACTCACAATCTGTACATCTTTGTTCCGTTGAAGGCGTCACTCGCCACCTCCTTGATGCCATTTCTGGTGAGCCGTCTGTCATCAGAGAGAGAAGCCAAAATCTCAGTCACATGGCTCAGGCGGCGAAAATTTATCCGAGCTGCTGATGCTAAACTTGCTGTTTGCACTTCCTTTGTTCCCACAAACTAAAGCTGCGCGGCCGCAGACTTTCAGCTAAACAGTTAGTAAGTGACTACTGCCTCAGCTGCTCTTTCCTCCTCTTTTCTTTTCTTCTGTTCAACAGAAGCACTGATAAAGTTGTTGGCGAGATTATGAAACCTGGGTCCCAGGGGCACAGACAAGCACTCTGAAAGCACCCCACTCATCCTACTGAAGAGCAACAGGAAGGAAGCTCAAAGCAAACACAAACGTGTAATTTGCGATTGTTCTGTGCATCCACCTACCATATTTTGTATTGCTTCATAACCATTCTGAATTATTTTATGTTTTTTCTTCTCTCTGGTCCTTTTTATAATGCTGTGGTCATTTTATGGCCCTTTTCGGGTTGATTTTTTTAATGATCATATACTTTTTCTGCTCTGCATCCCCAGAACCTGAACCAAACAAGGAGAAGCAGCATTTCAGCTCAAATCTGGAACAAACTTCCAGAAAACTGTAAAACAGCTGAAACACTGACTTCCTTTAAATTTCGACTAAACACCCACCTGTTTAGAGTTGTATTTGAAATTTAATCAATTATNAATTTAACGATGGCACTTGNCTTAATGTAATGTTTTGATTGTTGATTCTAAGTTGCATGACTTTGTGTTTTTGTTTATGATGTAAAGCACTTTGAAATGCCTTGCTGCTGAAATGTGCTATACAAATAAAATTTGATTGATTTTCCTGGTTTCTGAATTGAATTTTAGAAATGCTGCATGTCTTCAGAACCACTCTGCATCTTTTTGTAATCCTTGTTTTCATTCCAACTGGACCAAGACGACTACCTTGGCTGCTTCTGAACATTTTATAACCACTTTTGGCTTTTACAGAAACGGCAAATTAAGTGCCAGAGTGTTTATTGGCTGCAGAGGCTCGCTGATGTTCCTGCAGCTATTTGGAGCCAGAAAAACGTCACATTTCTCATTTGTGTAATTTTAACACTTTTTATTCTGTTGTATGCATGATACACAGAAACGCTAAATCCAAACATCTATTGTTCTGTCTTTTACCTAAAGACTATGACAGACATGCAAACCTGCCACGAGAAGTCAAAGTATATTTATGTGTTAGAATGGACCAGTCAAAGTTCATATCTACGCCCAATTAAAAATCTTTTTTCAGACTTGAAAACTAATGCTTTCATGTGTCCATCTAATCTGAGCTTCAGCTTTTTTTAGACAGGGAATAACTGGAAAGTATTTCAGTCTTTTGATGTGCAAAGCTGGTGGAGAGATTCACTAAAACCACCTGCAGCTAATGTGATTCTACAAAGTATTGACATACATTAATGCCACATTTCCCATATATTTATGTGTAAAACTGTTCCACTTTACAATTGTGACTACAATGTTTGTTATTTTTCATATAAAGTCTCTGCAAAATACGTTGGTCTTTGTGATGTGACAAAACTAAAAATAAAAAAAAATCAAGCGGTTGTGAAAACCTTTGCAATGTGCTTTAAAACAGCTTTGATTGAATTTAAATACAGATTACTGGAAATATTTGTAGAAAACTCTCCAATGGAAGACAGCACACATCATTTTCATGAAATTTCTGCACTTGTTTTGAAAAAACCACAAATGTAGCAAGTTGCCTTCTTTCCTGTTTCTTCTTCTGAATCAAAACTGTCACCTGTTTTTAGAAGATAAATGTAATATATATTATATTTCACCCCAACTGTCACAAACAACTCTGGTGTTTGAGGTTCTGTCGATATATTTCCCTTTATTTGTAATTCACAGAAACACACATAAATATGGATGGCTTGTCCTCTAAATGCATGAATAATTCCTCATTTAAAGGTGTTAGAGCGTTGAGATGCTATTGCTTGTAAAACCAACCTGTTTCCTTTAATTTACAAACAGATGCTCCAAGTTTAGCTTGCTCCCATTTTGCAAGAACTAAACATGTGCAGTCGTTTAGTAGAGCCATCCCTAAGAGGCGCATGAATGCAAAAGGAAAATGGAAGTAGCCGGAGGGAAAGAAGATGATTATCTTACATTTCCTCAATTGGTTTTGTGCAGAGGCCTCTGAAGGCATTGGCAGGGACAGTTTCTATGTTGATGTTGTCCTGGAGGTCACTGTGCAACACAAAGGGCAAAATATATATGGAGAATAAAAAAGTCATGTGTGTTTAGCACAAACTGATCTGCAATGAGTCTGTGTGTGTCCATCTTAAAGGCGGTAAATGTGTGTGATGTCCTCAGGCCATGTGCTTTAATTCCGTGTGCCTATAAATTCAGATCCATGTGGAAAGGATGGTGTGTGGGTGTTTTAGCAAGTGCGCTCTTGCGGGTCATTTCCATCATACGCTGACACCTACAACAGAAAACCTCGGGCTGCAGACTGGATCTTGGAGAGGTCTGGAAAAATTCGCAGCCCGGTGTTGGAGATAGTTCTGTGGAAATACGACAGCCAAATGTTACTTCCTTCATTTTGTAACCAACAGGCAAGCAGGCGCCACGTGAGAATGAAACCGGGCACAACGTAGCAAACAGACGAACAATGGAGATCCTTCGAGAGTATGTCAAGGTGAAAAGGAAATAAACGCGGCTGCAGTCTAAATCTATTAGCGTTGACAGAAATTTTAACACTTATAAATGCACCGTTACTGTTAATGTGCGTTTTGCAAAGAGCTGCATGGACTGCAATAAATATTAAATAAAATTTTAACACTAAGTAGTATTTTTTTTTCAGTGCAGCACAAAGTAGTTGCAATGTGATAAATTCATTAAGAAACTACAGCTAAACTCTTTCATTATCAGAATAGAAGAAATTTTCTAGACCAATTTTTATCTTAATGACACTTTATTTATTTTTAATTAAGATGGAAATAGTCAGTTTTACTTTGTGTTAGTTTAGTTCTGTCCTGTAGCTGGACACAACAAATTTGACTTCAGCTTCAAGTGCTCGCAGCACATAGACACAATGTGTAAATACATAAACTTTAGAGGGAATAAATGAACAGTATGCACAAGTATTTGCAGCCAGTTTTTCTTTAGAGGATTGTTGTGCAAATATGCTTATTCTGTTTCAAAGAAGAGGAGCTGATTGCTTAGGCAATAAGGTGTTTATTGTGTTCATTAGAGAGACAGCCTCTGGGAAAAAATGTGTCTTTGTCTGATTTTTTGAAAATAGTGCTTTGTAGAATCAAGCTTAAGTTAAACATCTAAACAGCTCATGGAGGTATTGATGCCACTTGTGCAAGAGAAGATGCTCACCATGACATTTTGTGACAATAACCTACATTACTGAATCTCACAGGTTTTTCTAATGTTGTGCAATTCTTGTGCAAACTCTCAGAAATATTAAATTACTTTTGATGCCTTTGCAGAAAAAAATTAAACAGATGTAGTTTTAATATGTATGAATCAAACCCTAAAACACAGCAGAAATGATGAAACCGGAAAAACAACGAGAAAAGTTATAAGTTATTGAAGCAACACAGGCCAGGTGTGAGGATTGACAAAGGTCTGATGTGCAGAGAAAACAGGGCAAGATGATCTGACGCAAACTGGGGAACAGATAGCAGAAATACTGAAGTACATGAAGCAAAAACAAATTACACCAGTCAGGATGGTCTAAAGGGGAGAAAAGAGAGCTAAAATATAAAAACAGATTTGGAGAACCAGTCAAATCCGAACCCACTACGACACAAAGCACAAGTAAGGAAACCTGCAGAGATTTTCACAAACTCTTATATTTGACATGATGATGATCTCTTCATTCTGTTCTCTTCACAATGTTCTCCTAAATAAAGTACAGTGCAACAAACTGCCCTTAAAAGTCACATAATTAATACAAACACACGCTGAATAAAGAAAACAGGTGATCCAATTAAGTTTATCCAAGTAAATATGTTACTTTTATTAGTTGTCGCATTAGACAAATGTGATTACACGTAATAGATTAAATCAATTTCTTTAAGTTGGAGCTTCGTTCTCTTTTTCAGTGCAGCTTAATCCATCATCTAAAAATGAGATAAATAAGGCACAGCTGGCAGAAGATGGAGAGCTTTAGCTCAAAGAAGCAGCTGAGATGCTCAAAGTTGCTCTGGAGGAGATGCAGCTAACTTCAGGTTGGAGAATCTGAAAACAGGCCAAATGTTAGTTTTGCTCGCCACAAATCTGGTCTGAATGGAGGATAAACCAAAAGTCCTAACAACTAACATCTGCAGTTTGCCTCAAGCCAAATGGGCATCACAACAAACAAGCTGCCTTCACACAAAACTCCATGTGTGGCATTTGATGTTTGTGGTTATAAGGGACAAAGTTTGAAAATGTTTAAGACACCAGGCAAATGTACACAAATGTTGGGCATAATAAGTTACGTACGAATCAGAACCCGACCACAGAAAGGTTTTATTTGCAATTACGAAAAGGTATACGACGATTGACAGCCTCTTCTTGGGATCAGCTTTCACGTCAGACTCCAGTAGAGATTGCTTTCCTGGATATCTCAGCTCCTCAGAGATGTGACTTATGTAAAGGGAAAAGTCATTTTGCGGGGATTGTTGCACCCGCAGGACCATGGAGAGGTGGACTCTATGCTCTTTAAACCTGGGATTATGACGTCACAGAGTGAGGAAACTCTGGAAGCATCGTAAGCTGGTTCACATGCCCCAATCCAACGATCAGGTTTCACCTTGAGGAGGTGAGTGAGTCATTTTCCTTTGATCCAAAACTCAGCGCTCAGGCGAAAAGTTCAGGTCAGCCACACTGAGGGTCAGAAAGCCAGAACAAATCCAGAATCCAGGTACATGTAGCAGAAGTCAGAGCAAAGGCAGAGAAACTCACAAAGCAGCAGCAGCAGCACAGGTGGCAGCAATCAGGCAGCCAACAGGGGTGGGAGGGGCAGAGCAGGAGAGCAGCGTGAAACACTGAAATCATGACAGTTGGACAATATTACGAGTCGTTTCTCCAAAAATGCTTGACCCTTTTGAGGCTCGTTCCATGAATATCTGTGTGAGCCGAGATGTCAGAGACTCTGCTTAAAGTCTCCGACATTAAGCAGAGACTTTAAGTTTGGTGACAATAATCGTCAAATGTCACCAAACTGTAAACATATTTTAAAAAGTTAAATGACTAAACAAGCAGTGCGGGCTTGTTTTTCTAATAACGTCAGCATTCCAGTGTTTTAAAGGCATTCAAGTTCCTTTACAATGCATATTTACAACTCATTTTTACCCATTTCTCCAACAAACTCAGTCTGACACAAATGGAAGACGAATGGAGGATAAATTTAGGCACCGTGCAACCATTGCATATTTTCTGATATCTGAGCAACAAACAAGCTTAAATTAAGAAAAAAAAAAATGTTCCAGACGCTGATTTATGTCTCGATGCTGCACTAAGGTGCCCTTGTTTAGACAAACAGTTTAAAAATATATTTTTGTCACCACACAGAGCCGAGTTTTTGTGTCCCAGTTTTTCACAAAATGGGCCACGCTGAACGATACAGATGATAGAATCCCTGAGAGACTAAAGCAGTGAGCAATGAATCACATAATTGGCTACTTGGAGATTGTTTCACAAATATAAAAACAATTCAATTACTTGGAAACTATTAGTGTTACAACTATGGAGTTCGGGGTGAATAAAACTGTGGGAAAATCTAAATTGGTGGTTGGATGTTTGACGCTTGATCTGCCATCAGGGGGATCCGAGCTAATTAAATAATCATGGATTTGGTTGTGTGGGTCCTCAGAAGTAGGCTCGTCAACCATGACCTACTTTGAACTCACAATTAGTTCAAAAAATTAAAAAAACAGACAAAGTGTGAGAGTACTCACAGACGGCGAAGGCTCACGATGTTCCTGAAAGCATCTGGATGAATGGATCTCAGGTGTTTGGATTTGGTTATCTCTCTGAAAGCAGCAATTTGTCAGTTCCACACTTTAAAAACATAAAAAATCTAATATATCAAAACTAACTGCCTGTTGTACCCACATTTCAGTGAGCTCTGGGAGATCGGAGAAAGCGAAAGCTTTTATCGTCTCTAAAGAGAGATTTTCAGAAATGTAGCTGAAAGAAGCAGAAGAACATGACACGTGTTTAAAAATAAGCCTCTTTGGGCCTCATTTGCACTTATTGTTAAGCATATTTTGTTTCCATTATTCTGACATGAGGAGACTCCTCAGAGTTTCTGGTTCTTCTTGTTCCAGGACAAAGACTAAACACGTGGCTGTTTTGGAGGAAACAGGATGCACAGGGTTAGGGTTGAGATGCGAATACTCACACGTCGGAGAGCTGAGGCAGACCGGCAAAGGCAGATGCACCGATGCTCTGCAGGATGTTGTTCTGCAGGATGAAACTAAGATGGGAAGTGACAGAAAAGAAATAAATATATTACTAAAGCAGAACTCACTGGTATTCTCTGCAAAAACTGTCCAACATTGATAGAAAGTAAAAGAACTGATTTTTTTAATGGATATTTGGGGGATGGCTTCCCAGTCTGGTTCTATTAACATAATTCACAAGTTTAAAAATGCATTTCACTTAATTACAATATGATATAAAGATCTAATTTATTATGTTTTGGATTATAACCTCATATAATATCATAAATAAAACAAATTTGTTAGGTTTTTTTGGAGGGGGGGCTCTAGTTTGGGGAATAAAGAAATTCCTCACCCGTTAGATGGTCCACAAAATAATAAAATCTATTTCCTTTATAAAGCAAAACAACAGGCAAGTTAAAATAACACATTCTGAGGTGATTTAAACTGCTAAAAAAGTAAAGTACAAAGAAAACAATAATCCTCTATAATAAAAAAATACAGATTCTGATGGTTCATGAAAAAAAAAAAATCTAAATAAAAGGATCAGTGATTACCATGGCAACACAGACTGTCCATTCACATATCATCACCTTCCTGGAATAATGACACAAGTCTTTTTTTTAACCAAAAGATGATTAAAAAAAAAAAATCACTTTTGGGAAAAACGACTAAAGTGTCATGGGGTGGTGTTGGGAGGTGGTGATGAGAACGAATGCTGAGACCCAGAGGATGGTGATGATGATGATTTAATAAAGAGAGCTCAAACAGTCTAACACAGGCGGCACGGCAGAGAGTTTAGCACATAGCTAATTACCAGTAGCAACGGAAAAACTGAATAAGAGAGCTAACCAACATAGGACTGTACAGTACGACTGTGATGGCAGGCAGACAGACGACAAATGACGAGGATCCGACAAGAGACAACAGGTGGGACTAAATACACAGGGAGGGTAATCAAGGAATGAGACACACCTGGGAAGCAATTAACGGGGAAGATGCAGAAACAACAGAGACTCAGGACAGAAACTGAACACAGAAAAACCTTAAAATAAATACACAGAAACACAGATCATGACATAAAGCCATTATTTTAGGAAGGTGACGATATGACATAATTATGAAGTAAACACTAAAGGTGATGAACGATACTAGCCAAAATAAAAAAATATGTTACGCCTCCCCTTATCCAACCACCATCACCAACAAATGCATCACATTTATCCTGTGATTGTTTTTCTTAGTTTTATTTTCTTCTATTTTTCTGAGCCTTTTTGAATCATTTTTTTTATTTTCATCATTTCTGTGTAGTGCAGTAGTTTTCTGTCTTTTAACATTTAAATAATAATTATTTTTTTGGTCTTCCTCAGGTAACTATGCAGAGCCTCAAATGAAAATCATGAGCATCAAACTCACAGCTTTGTGAGGCGATGCAGGCTGGCGAAGGAACGCTGCTGAATCTCTGTGATCTGCGTCTGCTTCACTTCCCTACAACACCATTAAAAAAAAAAACTGTAAACATCTGGGAAATTATAGTGAAATGCAGTTGAGTACATTTATTTTTCATACAATAAACGGAATGCGCACAAAAAAACATGAATGAGCTTCACAGGAGCATCTTGGCCAAAGTGACAGCAGTAAAGTACAAATGCATTAATCGTCAAATGTCACCAAACTGTAAACATATTTTAAAAAGTTAAATGACTTAAGTTAGTGAGACATATTGTTGTGGGTTTGTTTATTTATGTTTGGAAGGGCTTGCCATACTCTATTAATGTGGAACACATTGTTAGAAAACTGCTGCCAAATAGGTTAATTCCTGTAGATTTAATTTCTCTCTTTTTTTCTTGTGTCCTGTTTTCATGTCTCCACTTTGGTTTGTTTCACTGATGAACACAGCTCCCTTTCTGTTAATTATTCACCTTCCCTCTGTCTCCCTGCTTTGCTTTCCTTCACAACTGTTCCAAATTCCTGCTCCAACACACCTGAGTCAAAAGGCTGAATTACCGCCTAGGCATGTCGGAGGGTTTCACAAAAACCTGGTTATTAACCAGACTTTTTATTCAGGGATGCGTCTGAAAGTTGCAGGTCAGGGGCATGTGAAATATGAAGAAACATGTAACTCAAATTCTCTCTGAAAATGTAAAAAAAAATGAGGTACATTCACGGGGCTTTCATCATTTTTCAAAGTAAGTATTTAAACACTTAAATTCTTAAATTTGTGTATTTTACAGTTTACAGTAAAATTATGTGAACTGAAACGGAGCAAATTTGTCAGCTTGCAGATTTTTAAGTATAATTTAAGATGAAACAATGAAGGAGGAAAATAATAAGCGACTCATTTTGAGAAACAAACGTCTTTGCACTAATGATGTGTGGGAGAAGCGGAGCAGGTTTTATCTGGATTTCCCTCCTGAAATGGCCATTAGTAGCTGCATAACTGTGAATATCACAACTCTTCCTGAGCCTTGACCTTTGACCAGACAAGAACACACACATACACACACGCACACACATGTTTGCATGGCTATCTTTGTGGGGACTTTCCATTGACTTCCATTCATT